GAGTGCGCATGCACTTGATAAAAATACGGTTTGTGGAAAGACACTGTAAATGTTATCATAATTATATAATATTCACATGACTTTATGCGTGGCTGGATTAAAGAAAATATGACAAATAGTCAAATTTCATTAATTTTCTTAAGAGAGTAAATTGTTCGCAACAAAGGCTTGTGAAGGAAAAAAGTTTATTCTGCACTTTCTCGACTTACTTTTACCAGACAAAGAAACCTCCTTATTTAATTATTCTACAGGTTTTTATTTCCACCCTGTATAAACTAATATTATCCAAATGCAGTGAAGCCTTCAAAGAGAGCTGAAAAAATTTACCTCTAATAAAGAGGTCATCACAAGTGTTCGAGAGTGGGTTAGCTTGCAGCTAAAAGATTTTTTTTCTCGAGAAATACAAAAGTTACCGCCGGTGTATTGAAAATCTGGGAGATTATGTTGAAAAATAATATAACTTACATTAAGTGTGTTTTTTTTAGTTTGTATATGATTATTGAATTGTAGTTTATATTTGAACACTCTTCATATGTTTATCTAACAAATTACTTATTACATCGTAAATGCAAAATAAATTCTGTTACGAATAAATAAATTTCTGTTACGAAAATCAGAATTGTTTAATTTGCGATACGTTTCGATTGCAGTTATGATATTTTTAGTTTTTTATGTTCTTAGTTTTTCGTCTTTTAATTAAATTACATGAGAGAGAGAGAGAGAGAGAGAGAGAGAATTTATATTTTTTTTCTATTTCTATTTCTACATGTAATCGACATGCTGCTTTTTAGTACGAATTTTAATTTCTTGTTACGTATTAATTTTTATGATAATTATAGACACTTTAGATATATACACTTAATTAATAGATGAAAAGAAACGGTATAATTATAAAATTTTCACTGGTTGATTTTATCGAGAACGTTATGTTATTTACACAATCCATATAGAAAATGTTCGTTACATAAAACGGAAATACGCTGTGCAATTTTCCTATAAAAACAGAAATATATAATTAAAGAACGGAAAGGATAGAGCGTTGCGCGCTTAACATTCTATTCATTTTTATCCTCTTTAGTGCTTCCAATATGTAATTATGACGTTAAGGAAGTAAAGCTCAGAAAATAGCGAGCATACAAAAGTCTTATTTCCAGTGCAATTCTGTGTGAAACGGATAAGCATGTTACGATAATATTAAATATGTTATCATTAATCATATGGGAAGGATCTCACGAGAACGATTCAATGCAGCTAGCTTACCTTTCTTTAATATATTAGTTATCAGAACGCGCGTCATCTCTCTTAGATTATATCAGCGTTTTTCAATTCGTTCAAATCAGCGTTTTGGATTGTATCACCTCTGTTTTCAATTTATGACACACTAAATAACGAGTAAAAACAAATGTGTCGAGGTCATCATTAAGTATACTTTAATGATCAACACAAATTTTTTTTCAAAAACCGCTAACACGACATTCAGATATAAAGAATAAAGTTTTAGTTTTTATATTTCATTATTTTAAAAGTAATTTTATTGCAATGATAGTATCATTTTTGAAACAGGAGCAAACATGATATGGTTTAGGTAATTTTCATCATTTCTAAAATATTTTTTACTTTGCGCTTTATTCGCTTTTTTATTTATTTCTTATTTCTTCTTTTTACTTTTATTAATGTTTTCGTGGCATACTTGGAGATTTTTTTTATGGCTTCCGCAACACCAATTAAAAAATTCTAGATTATATAATTAACTTTTGTTTAATTTTTTAATTTCTCTACAACTTGGTGTTATTTGCATACATCATATACAGAGTTTTTAATTATATGTTATTACTGCATTCGTTCTTTTTATTTAGAACGCAAGACAAGAAATCAATTTTTAAGAGTACTTTGTATTCAACATTTAACTACATTATTACTCCGTTATAACAATTTCTCATCCTTTTTCTACCTTATCTTTTTGTGCTCTGTCCGGATGTTGACTTGAAGGCTTGCAAAATTCCGTACTGAAGATACGGAATTTTGCAAGCCATCGACAACAGGTGCGAGCGTTTATCTTCACCAAGTGTTTCTATAATGTCCGATAAATACTTTTTTATTGCATCTGTTGCATTATGGCTAAGTTGGAACTAGCGGCTGATAGCAATCGATAAGAATTAAAGGTGTATCAGATGTACAATCTCTACAAAATGTGACTGGAATTGGAAATTTATACTTTTCATATAAAAATATGAATATATGCATATAAAACAACTTACAACAAGACCTCCAAGCGACGTCCTAAAGACATTCAAAGAACGTATCTATATTCTCTTAGGCCCGGTTTTTCATTATCTGGCTAACTTAGTTAGGTTAAGCTTAACCACAAGTTAACCAGATAATGAAAAACTGGACCTGAATGTCCTAAGGACATTCCTAGGATACCTCTCGGATAAAATGTGCTGTATTTGATAAGATTAATATTTAAATTTAACAATTTACAGTTTAAATAAAAATGTTCTCGTTTTATCCTAATTGGTTTTTAAAAATATGTTTACTTCTTATCGAAATCATTTTTAAATCAATTTCTAAATCACTACCAAACTTTTTGTATTAAACTTTCAAAAATAATTTAAAAAGATCTGTAATTCTTTTTCTTTTTTTTTTTGTTCAAAATACGTGTAATACATTCTTAAATGATCATTAAAGTCGCTTGATCAAGTACTTGTCTGATCTCTAAAACAAAATCGATTTTGCTCCTTTCGTCTCGGCAACAGAACTATCGTGAGTAATTGAGATAAGTGGCTGACCGCGTAGTAGTTACTTCCGTCTATTCCTTGATTGGTCTTCCTATCAAGAGGAATCTCAGACTGCCGATCGATTTCAATGTGCCGATCGCCGACGACGTGCTCCATCGACGTCAATGAACCTTTTTACCTTCGATTGAAAGGCGCAAGGTGCCATCGAGGTACGAGAAGGAGAGGTGAGCAGTGTCCGAGAACTGGAGAGGTGAACAGAGCGCAATCGTAATTTCATACCCGTCACGTTCACGATTGGTCAAACGGCTCGATACTGGCCTCGAGAATGTCAACCGCTCACGAGTACCGTTTGCCTCGACGGATTGACTGTAGAACCTTTTTTACCCGGTATGGATCACTGCACTAGCTGAGCCACCCTTTCGCGAGAAAGAGAGCGCTGACAATGAGATCACATGACTAGTCGAGGGCAGGTCACGGATACAGCTTCTCAATTGTCTTGAAAGTTTAATCTTCTCGCTCGAGTAACGCGATACATATGTTAAAGAGTTTTTTTTGAGCCTGAACAGAGCGTTTCCTCTCTTTTTTAATTATTCACAGATATTTTACTTCAATTTTTAATATGTAAAATACTGTGTAGTAATCTTTTTTAATTTAACAATAATTATACAATATAAACTAAAAATATTAGTAAAAAATTAGCTAAGAAAGCTAATATTAGCCAAAAAGGTTTTTGTAGCGAATACGCCTTGAAACCAACTTTAAGAAATAAAACAATAAATAATTTAATTTGTAATAGCTTATGTTGCTGCAGTTTTAGATAAATAACTTTTAAATGAGTAAGTAGATCCAAATGAATTACCATAAATATTTATTAGAATATCGTTAGTATAAATATTTATTAGAATTTTATTAGTATATAATAATATTAAAATTTTTTCGTATGTACAAAAAATATAGAATAACATTTTTTTTTAAATTTTTAATGACATTTTCATTTTCATATTTAAAATTTTTCATAAAAAGAGAAACAAAAAATTTATTTAAATTCTTTAAATTCATAAAGACTTTGAAACTAATAAGGGAATCGTGCTCAAATCTTACACAAATATGTAATGATAGAACAATTTATGCAATTTTTATATTTTTGATAACGCTTTGAGATGTGGCACATACATCCTAAAAAACATTTTTATAATTTTTATATAACATTTCTAAATTTATAAAAGAATAAAATTTATGGTAAAATTTTCTCGTCGTAAAAATATGCAAATTTTAGGAGAATAATGACGTGCGAGAAAGAACATTCACGTTACATGCGAAGTAATTTGTTGAGGAAATGAAGCTATTTATGGCATGGCAGAGCAATCGCGAAAAGATTACAGTAAATTTTCGTTACCTCGACACAAAGGGCTATTTCACGTATCTTCAGCATCGTGCGAATTTAACAGTTCGAAATGAGGAACCTTTCTCGTTTAAATAGGGCCGAGGTGCGAATCAACGATACCGTAAAGTACCATTTCAGAGTACCGTTTGAGTGCGAAATTATTTCATCTGCGACTGGATCAAGCACGAGATCTTTCTCACGCAAGCATGGCAGGGCTAATTACGTCCTAATGATGATATAATTATATATTTTTTTACGCGACGGAATGAGGAAGTGACCATTGCAATTTAATATTTTTCTTCATTTGCTGCAACAGTCACTTGTGCGGTCCTCTGTCTAACCTTTTGATTTCTCACACGCCGACACGGCCAGTCTTAAAACGTAATTCGGTCTTCTGGACAGCCGCGTCGATATAATATTACGAAAAAAGTTCATCAACCTTATACGCGAGTATTATATACCGCGAGTTCCTCGAGCATGGCAAATATTCCTTATACGACCGTAGGTCTAATAGTCTTCACTTCAGTGGTTTACCGTTTTAATATTCGCGTAAAGTACGAGCGTGCATTATATTTAGGTTTATCGCCCTCACGTATGAAATCTGCAATATAATCGAGCATAAAGCTCGATTTCCTGCAATATCCTATTATCAAAATCTCGAAGGTAGAAAATTCTAACTTGAAATTCAATTATATTATTAATTAAAATTGTTATGTTAAGTAATTAATATATAATATTTATTTTAATAATAGTTATTTTAAAACAGGAAAGAGAAAAAACAAAAAAATATAGCTTGAGATAAATTCTCTATTCTTTCAAGAAAATATCGAAAAAGTAGATATGTGGAAAAGTTAACGTTAACTTTCGTTCACTTTCAGGAGTATTGGCCATACAGAACGATAAAACATCTTCTCGAATGTCTCGGGAAAATATGGTGTTGAGTGCTAGTGCTTACACTGGTCCTGAAAAAACATCCAGTAGGAGTCACCCAGACGAGTCTTGGACTTTCCAAAGAACCGTCCCGGCGTTTCAGCTAGAAAGCTCGAAAAACGTTAACGATTACGACAGGGAGGAGACCAGAATTGTGTTCAAGGATACGAGTCACGACGAATCTATCAACGAGCTAACATCGTCAAAGCATGTAGCCCATATCGACGGTAATAACATCGAGACGAAAGCCGGCGAGTACTACCAGTAAGCTTTATTCCGTTTCTATGAATACTGATAAAAGGGCGAATTACACGCAAAGGACGAAGTTCTATATAAACGTAAATGGGTTCCTCGTATTAACAGTACATCTACATAAAATCCTGCTGTGAGCATTAGATGTCGGTATTTGTCAAAGCTTCAATTACTTAGGTGAATCCATCAGAGTTTCAATTAACTCGATCTGGGTTTCTAATCCGAATAGAATGTAAAAAAAAGGGAACTAAATATTATATTAACAATAATCAACTTAAGTTACGATTAGTTCGTTTTAATTCTAGTTAAAAGTATGATTAATCTAAAATAATTTGTTATCATAAGTAGTATAGTGCCTACCACCAGCGAATCGATGTCGGGGGAAGGACAAGGGGCTCCGCTGAGAGTAGATCTCCTGTCGGAGCCCCATCAGCTGGTTGGCGCGCCGAGGCAACGAGCACAGCATTTGCCAGCGGATCAGCAACGGCGAGGTCGTCAAGAGACCTCGAGGACCTATAGCGTACCGCCGATCTTGCAAACCGCTCCACCAGGTAGACAAGCAAATCCCGATATACAGGACATTATCACCGGTATCGTCAAGTTGCTCAATGGCAATGTAAATGTAGCCGCGAACACCGTGAGGCCGTTGAGGCCGATACAAGCCACGAGGTAAGCCGAAGAATTTTAATCTTCCTACACAAAAAAGACTGTTTTGCTAAAGTATCTCAAAATTTAAATAGATACAGATTTAAAAATAACTTTGTTGGACCATCAAAATAATTATATTATGTATGTCGCTCAAACAAATTGCTATGATGTCAAAATTTTTTTGCAGCATTTCTCATTATGCTTGAAATTCTTATTCTTAATTATTTTGATGGTCCAATAAAATTATTTTCAGGTCTATATTTAATTTTTTTAGGTATTCAGCAAAATTATCTTTTCCGTATATCATATTTTATACAATACTATTATATGACGGTTTAATTAATTTCTTTTAGCATTAGAATTATTAATTTTTGAAAATATTATTTCACATTTTTGCATACTTATGTTATATACTTATAAGAAAAATATCAAGAGATTGGGGGAGGGATGTCTTTATACTTAAAAAATATTATATAAGATAAATTTTTGTCGCAGAAGAATCCCAAAAATTCGCATTAATTATTATTTCAATAGAGCATGATAAGTACGCATGTATGTTTCATTATTGGCAATGACATTGAATTTGCAGAATCAATAACAGAGGACCACCCAGAATATCGGATGTGCCTCCATTACCATCAGACTTTGACACTCCTGGCATGAATCCACCGCCACCACCGTCGTCACATCCTTATCCATTCGAAAAGCCTCCTGCACCTGACAGACCGTTGTTGCCACCAGACAGACCCATTAGGCCCTTTATCAGCGGAGTGCCATTACCAGAACAAGTCGTGCCGCCTTGGAATTGGGATTCTTCTTATAGTACGTCGTACAACCGTAAATAATTACGCACTTAATTAATTACTTATTTCGCATGGGTGCTTTAACATAACGGGACGTGGATATGCAAAACAAAATAATTTTCCGGGTAATTTTAATGAAATGAGACTTATTCGATCATAATTACAAAATAATCTTTATTTTATTAAAATTATGCGGAAAAAAATTAATTAATTTTTCTTTAAAGATGGGAACAGACGACCGTCACCTTACCCTCCGTTATCGTCATTGGATTCCTCCTTCCACCGCGACAAAAACCTTTCAACGACGGAGAACTCGCAGTATGATTTAAAACCGGAATCCGAAACGCCTCAGGAGAGCTCCACGATAAAGAAAGATGCCAGTCATCAAGAAACACTTATCGAAGACAACGATACTAAGAATTATGCGAGTAATTCTAGCAAAGATCACATCGAAACCACGGTGGCGGCCGATGATTCAACTATTCAGAATGCAACCAAGAAATACGAACCCGAAGAGTCTACAAAGAAGCCTATTAATCACAAATATCATACACCGTCGAAGGAAAACAAAATCAACAGTGAGGAAACATTGATCCTTGGTCTTGCTACGGACGTCACTTCGACTCACACGATACCACATCTGGAGTCTTCGGTAGCGTCTTCGAACAGTGAGATCAAAGTTACGAAATCTTCGAAAAACGAAGAAAAAACGTTTTTGACATCCAAAGGAGAAAAATCGACCGAAAAAGTTACCTCGACCACCTCGAAGACTTTTTCGACCAGCACCTTGAATATCGAGACCAGTTCGTCGGTCCAAGTGATCGAATCTATGTCGACAAGAGTCGTCCTTCGACCAACCGCGACTACCGTGAAATCAAGTGTTGATACCAAGTTTGGTGTGAGTTTGGAGCCTAGTAGCACATCAGATATCGAATACATAGAAACAACGTCCAGCGTTTCGACACCGACCGAAGGTCTCCCTACGACTTACTCGAAGAACTTGGTCACGACGGAGAAGAACATTCATCCCACGACTTCGATATTCACAAAAAATACAGGCAAGTAAAAGATTAGATTAGAGACAAGATTACATTAGAGTATAAGATAATTATTAGATTATTAAGAAAGTTCCGAATCACCTTTCGAGTTTTACGTACATAAACGGTTTTTACATATAAATTTATTTAGAAATAACAATTATTCCTCAAAATCATTATGTTCGAAAACTGTTCACCACCAATCTGTTTGCTGCCGTATTCTCGATACCATTAGTCTAGAGACATCAAGATATCTCAGTACAGCCCGCATATAGTTCTGCTTCTGCATTGTTTAATTATGGTCTGTTTCGCTCAATGAAACATTTCTTGCACGACAATTTGAAACTGTTGAGCAAGTTAACGTAACTTGTCAGGAGATCTTCGCATCTAAAGAGCCCGAACGATTATACCGAGATCAAATCTAGCAATTAGCAGAATGGTGGCGAATGATTGTTCAAAATAATGGCCTTTTGTTTAATTGTCATTGTTTCTGAATAAATATGTATGTAAAAACCGAAAGGTGACTTAAAACTTTTCTAACAATCTAATATTATTACATGTTATTTTTATTTATACCACAGTATTTTTGCACTATTATGCTTATATGCATATTAATATATAATCCATAATTAATATAAATTATTTATGATAAATGAATAAATAATTTATGTGAGATGTTCATAATATAGGATCCACTGAACGATATCGTCCGCGACCTGGGATTGTCCTGGATGATACTTTGGATTATACTGGAGCGCAAGGATTACCAAGTCAAAGACCTTATGTACCCTCAAGACATCCATCCTTTGGTGACGTCTTTGATGTAACAGTTTCGGCTATTCAAGGACCCGGAGGAAGTTCTGGTAATTTTTGTTTAAATATAAAAAAAATGAGAATCTTTTTAAGTGACTGTGGGTTTCATTTCTATAATCATTTCTTAATTTAATTTAGGGGAGAGCGTTAGAGTGTCTCTAAATTCAGGCGGCAGCGGTGGTGACGTCATATTAACTTCTGCAATAGGCGGAGAAGGTTTTGTGAGTATTGACGGTAAAAGAACGTATCTGAATCTATTCGATACTACGGAACGGACGCCCGCACCTACCCATGTACAACCACAACCACCAAGAACGCAACCGCCATCCATCATCGGTACTGGGTATGTCTTGATTTAATAGAATGCTTTTTCGAGAATGTATTATATCAATGAAAAGAAATATATTTTTAAAAGCTTTTTAATTTAAATCTTCTGCCAAACGTTAAACGATTTATTAATATTTGTTTTCTGTACCCTTAGAAAAAAGTTCACGATGATAATAAGACGGCTAACTTGGTCAAGGATAAATATATGTTACATAAAAAGTTTCTATTTCTCTTACCCAGTCTTGCTATTCCACAACCGGACTCTCCTGTTGCCACTTCCCGTCCGAATGTACCAAATCGGAGGCAACCACCATTATATCGAAGACCGACGCAGCCACCTGTCAGAATAGACACTTGTATCGTAGGCGACACAAGTACATGCGACGCAAGTCAACACGAAGCTTGCGCGACGGTTCAAGGAGTATCAGCTTGTCACTGCAAGCCAGGATATGCGAGATTGCAACATTCGCTGCCATGCAAAAGTTAGTAAGCATTTAAAAATCACAAGATACATGTTACGATTACACAGTTTGCATCCCGTATTTCTCTTTCAGAGATCGTCAGTATTGTCGTGTCAATTAGAGTTGACAAATTTTATGACAAGAAAGTCGTATGGGACCGAGGACTAGCTGACAAGGACTCGGAATCTTATCAAACCCTTGCTTATGAGGCCAATAGAGCCGTAAGTATATAAATTAAATATAATAATTAAAGTTATTACATTTATTTAATTATTATAATTCTTAATTATTATTTAAAATATGAATAAAACGTTTAAAAAATAACTTTAACTCTTTTTTTTTATAAATTTTATATTTTAGCTAACTAACTAAATAGTGTATTGATTTTTTTACATACATTATATAAATATTAAACATTTTTAATTATGTCTATATCTGATTATAAAGAGTAAAATAAAATGTTTATAAAATTCATTAAAAAGATCTCGATCAATTACTTATAACTACTTAATTAGAGAATATACAATATATTTATTAAGTTAGTTAGAACATAGATATAAAAAAATTTATTTAACCATCTCTCTTTTTCCATTTATTAAATAAATGCAATTATCTGATTTCTATTTATTACGTTTATAATATGTTTTACAGGTTGAATCTGCCATGTCTATGACACCATTTTCGGATGAATATATGGGATCGCTGATAAACAATGTATATCAAGGAGACGTGAGTCAAGGACAAGGCGGAGTTTTCGTGAATGCAACCCTGAAATTAACTTACGAACCGAGAACAATTAGGTCAAGCTTAGCCGGTGAGCTTCAAAGACATCTGCTAGGTGTTATTCATAGAAGAAATAACAACATCGGAAACAGTGCCCTGTTTGTGGATAGCCCACCAGGATCCATATCGAACTTGCAAGGTAAGACTCGATCGTTAATTGTAATTAGTAGCTATAACTGGTGCGATATTTTGAACTGCGAAATGGAATGTAACTATAAAAGTTATGAATTTCTAATGCAATTAAATTTATAGATTTAGACGAATGCGTTTCGTCGGAGTTGAACGATTGCCATTCGTCCTCCAGCTGCACTAACACTTTCGGCGGTTTCACGTGCACATGTAATTCAGGATTGAAGGATCCTCATAAAAATGATCTTAATGAATCCGGCAGAACGTGCTTGTCGTGTCCCTCGACCTATTGCAATAATCGCGGCACTTGCTCCTATCAAGGAGACCAGATGCACTGCAAGTAAGTAAACGCGATTGTACAAGTTCTTGTCAAGTGCACTGAAAATTTTTTCCCAATCTTTAGATGCACCGGCAATTATTACGGCACACAATGCGAGGTCGACGGTGAAGTTCTGGGCGTCGCTATAGGCGCATCGGTGGCTGCGTTAATAATCATAATTCTGACTCTAGTCTGTCTCGTTATGTGGAGGTAATTATCATTAAAAGATGGTTACATTCAGCAGAACATTTATTTTACAACTGTTGGAAGTTTCCCTTACTTAGATAAAACTATATTTCTCTAAAAGTATAATCTAATCAGCGCAAAGAAAACTTTCAACAGTTACAAAATATACGTTCTGCTGAAAATAAATACAACCAATTATTATCACTGTACATCGTTTTACAGTCGTAAGTGGTCTCGCGAACAAAAGTCTGCGGGTTCTCCGGTGTACGGTTACATCCAAGGTGGAATACCTGGTACTCTCCCAGGTAAAATCAATTAACAGATAAATTTAAACTTGAACTTTTGCTAGTGGATATATATTTAAAGACATAAATAATTTGTAGGAACTTTAGCGAGGGTTGGTTCTGTAGGCACTTTGGCGTCTGTAAAACAAGGACCGCCAACGAATTTGCCACCTTACATGTGGGCTCATTTTGGGGAACACATGGCTACTGCGAATCTCTATGCGGTATGCATATTAGCTTCTTTTATTAACAATAAAAGAGATGTAATAAGAATTTTATTAATGAAGAAAATATTGCGTAATTGATGTTGAAATTGGAGAAGCAAATAAATAAGAGCGATAAATTTTAATATGTTCATAAATAGATGACAAAAAAATATATGGTCGTTATATTATCAACTACAAAGCATCTATCAATCATCGAAGTTACAAATTGATTTTTATGATTTTTATGCAATAAATTATAACGATTAAGTTCACTAATTTTTCTTATTAAATCACTTTAATTGTATTTATTAGTAAGAATTTTGCTTGTTAATAAAAAACTTCTTGAAAATTTTTTTACTGGAAGACCGAACCCATGGGCCCTACACGACCAAGCTCAGCGATGTTCGGTTATCCACCTATAAGCGTTCACGGAACGTTGCCTCCGGTCCCATTACCGCGACTTCAGGCCCCATCACGGCCGAGACAAAGACCCCAACCAGATCCGGATAGCTCAGATTCTGAGCCGCAAGATAAAGACAGAGCTGACCTAATTCCTCAGAGCAGTGGTTTTCACGTGCCGAGGCCAAAGTCGAGATCTTCATTAGCGGTGAGTATCCATTAATTCGTTGAGCATATATCATAATATTCGATAGAAAATAATAATTTCTAAAATCATAAAAATGATTTATTTTCATTATTACGAATTTATTTCTAAATTAAATATTTGATGTTCAGGAAAGATTGGTTTTTAAATTTATCTCTCTGGAATTTAGTAATGCTTCTTTATTAAATTTTATAATGTAATTAAATAATGAATATATACTAAATAAATGAAAAATTTATTTATTGAGGTACATAGGTTTAATACTTCAGTTTTAAATATAAATTTATATAAATAAAAGATCTCTTTAATCCCTTCGTGTTAATTCAAATTTAATAATAGATAAAAATAAAAAGAAATTTAATAATTATAAAATCAATTTCCAAGACCAAAAGAGATTCAATGTGATACCGCAAAGTAATTTTTAATCAATTCATTCTAAATCGTCATATTTTTGTGCAAATGCTTTGTTCTGATCCTTTTCCAATTTCCTCTTCTAATTTTTAATATAATTTAAATTATTCGATTTCGTTTTAATCCGATTCGTTTGCATTACTATTTAATTGCTATGACTACAGAATCTAACTGACTTTTAGTTACGTATTGATGAGTTGGCTTATATTTCAGAATCAAAGCGGCATCTATAATGACGTGGAGTACGACCAGGGTGATGTTCATCATTTATCGAAGAATAACATCCCAATGTCTACTTACAGACCGTATTACAGAACGTGAAATTCGTTGCGAATGGTGTAAGCGTACGTGTCAAGGGACTGCACTAAATAACCCATCGCAAATTTATCGTCTAAAGTGCTCAATAAATAGTGCATTAGGACACGGTGTGGTGCTGCTGCTGCTGGTGCTGGTGTAAAGTAATCCCACGGTAGAAGCTGTAACTCGTTTCAGAGTCGTCTGAACAAACGAACCGAACGTAGGAAAATTTGCACACGTGATGTGGAAGTGAGCCTATTCGTAATCTTGCTCGCTATAAAGTCGTGTTCTTGTAGTCACGCGATATCGTATTTGCGAAAGATCGATTAACTGTAATAATAAGTGTAATACGCAGATATTTATTATCTATTCAGTTTCGTTATTTGAGTTAATATTTTGTAAAATTGAAAAGTTCATTCTCATATTAGATAGTTTTAAAGAGAGACACATATGCGACGATTGCACATATTTGACTATTTTTAACTAACTTGTTATTACTGTTAGCTCAATACTCCAAGTAAAAATAATTTATAAGAGCAAATATATTGACTGTTTATGATTAGTTGTAATTGTTAAGCAGAAACTAACTGTTTTGCGTTATAAATATTAAACAATTTAGTAGAGAAAAATTTAATGTTTATGTTAAGTCACTTTAAGAATTTAAGAGTATTAATATAATTACAATTAATTTATTAAAATCTTTTTTTGAAAAAGGTATACCGAAATCTAAGGGCAGTAAATAATTATTTTCTTACGCATCATGAGATATTAGATACTTTAATTCATTAAGCACTCAATGTAATTATATATTGTAATTATATTTTTTAGATTCAATACAAATGTCAATAAAATTTAATTTAGTTTTTACTTTGTCTGTCTAACTTGTTAATACAATAATGTAGATACAATACTATAAGTCAAAAAAATTAATAAAACATGTATAAAACTGAGAAATTAATGTAATAATAAGTAATTTAGCAAGTGCAATTAAAGCATAATTAAAGTTTAATTAGAATATAATTACAGCAAAATATTATAAAATTTTCAAATTAATTATTTATAAAAATGGCAACAAAAAAAACATAAAAAATATAATTTAAATAAATATAAAAAGTGTCATTCAAATAAATATCAAAAATATAATTCAATTTTTGCAGAATATATCACAAGCGTATACAATGTCAGATTACGTGCAACGAGAATCAAATAAATAATACAGCGTCAGAATAGATACGTTATTTATTTTCTAGTGATATGTGAAAATTTAAAAGATTTTAATTCGATTGTGTGACGAAGCTGTGCGCGTCGCAGTTTGCACACGTCAAGTGCCATCGATCCGAGTGACACACACGCGGTCGAGACAACATTGGCGAGAATAAAATATTTAATCGAGTGAACTCCAAACGAATGAACACTAGATACGTACGTACTAGTATAAGTAGGAGAGGTGAACAACCTCGATCGATTTCCACTGTGAGGTTGACTGCTCAATGTTTCAAGCGTTTTATCCTCTTTAGGTCCGCGAGAGACAGTCAGAGAAGTTACAAAAATTGCGAAACAAAATTTCGCCCATCTTTCTAAACATTCCAGCTACTATATTTTTCATCATTTTGAAGCAAGATCAATTTATATGCATCATTTTTGCAGAATTTTAATTTTAATCTTAATATGATATTTTCTGGTTAGTTTCACCAAAATCACGGAAATGACTAATTAAATCGCTTCTTTTTCTACCGGAACTACGCTCTCATTTGATACTAATAAGCTGGAGTTATGTCCAATTAAAATCTTTTAATCAAAACGAATGGAAAGAATAGAACAGAGAAACAGTTTGCTGTATTCACACTGGAACTCTTATGCACTTTTTTAATATTTTTGTTCCGCATGCTTTTGAATGTTTAATGGCGCAATTCTTCCAGTCTCTAAAGTAGCCAGTAGGGAAATCTCTCATGAATCACCGTCTCGCGGAACAATGCATTTCACTTTCCCTATCTACGTTTATTGTTCAATATTTTCCCAGATTTACGAGATTGTCTAACATACATCTATAAAATCATCAAGCATTCTAAAGAATATTACATTACAGCAATTATTACGTAAATTATAAAAATAATAACACAGGAAGAAAAATTTATCGTTTGTTATTAATTATAATATTGTTGCTATTAACAGATTCTCGCAGAACGTTAAAAAATTATGATTTACAGTTTCATTAATAGTTTTATTTTAATGACAGTTACATAAACTGAAGGTATGATGTATGTACCCGGGAAAAAATGTTATACTATATATGGACATATTTTATATAGTATAATTACAATAATTGTATATAAAATATGTCAATTTTTCATATAATTATATATAATTTTATATAATTATACATGAAACATTTTTTCTTGGGTGAAAACAAGGAAGGAATTAAATTAAACAATAAAAATAAAATATAAATTTTGTATTTATATATTCACACCGAATAATCAAATTTAATTTTGTTGCCAAAATTGAATTTTTAAAAATCTTCAGCTTATCATGATCGGCAAATACCTATTTGTTTGTTTCGTATAAAAAAGACTGTGCTTCCGAAAAATTTGGAAAACAAATTTTAAAAAATATATATATATATATATATATATACAGAAAATGTATTTGTATATACGAGAGGATTAAATTACTTCGAAATATTGCTTTTATTCGCGTCCTTCACGCTCAACAGTGCAGTCTCTCTTACTTTTAATTTAATTTAATTAAGCTCAAACAAACACTATAAAATAATTCTACAATTTTGCAATATTAAAGTTTATTACAGTTTTACAGAACTTTTCGTGTCTTGTTTTTATAAATGATACAATAGTTATTAATTGCTACAACGATACAATAGTTACTAATTGTAACAACATTTTTTATATCTATTTATTTTACGCATCACTTTCTTCACGTTTCTATATAATTAATTGATTTAACTCTAATTTTTATATAATTATCAACGATGCCGTAGTTTGACTGTGATGCCCGTACGTCGAGCATGCTGGACATTTCGAGCAGGAGAATACGCCCCCGGGATAAATTACGAGTTTTATAGTAATAATAAACACCGTATCTCTCTTTAGACTGGAAGTATTAAATTTCTTTATACGGCGATCGTCGCGTCGTTTATCGAACAACAGACGTTAGCAACAGTGAAATCATGTGATAATGACGTAAATCGACGGGCAGCAAATATTTTAATGTTTAATTCATGGTATTTCTCTTCAGGTAGGTGTGTTTAATAGTATCTGTAACGGAAATACATTTTTTTAATAACTTTCACTTTCTGTTGCTAGTATAAATGTATCTGTTTCATAAATCTATTTTTCCGGAATTTTGAGCATGCATGACGCTTTTGAAAATCTCATCTATTATTTTTATTAAATTTTATTTTATTATTTTTATTGTATTTTCGTCGAAAAATACAATAAAAATAATAAAATAAAAATAATAGATGAGATTTTCAAATGCGTTATGCATGCTTAAAATTCCGGAAAAATAGATTTATGAAATGTCGATTTGAGACTTGATATTATAATTCTCTCTCTCTCTCTCTCTCTATATATATATATATACCCTGTTGAAAATTAGAGTGTAAGTCGAACGTAATAAGAGAGTAACAAAAGCGTAAATGAAACTTCTAGGAAGCGAAAATTGAAACAACAAAATATAAAAGAAGCGTAAATGCTTCTTTTACATTTCATTGTTTCAATTTCCGCCTTTTAGAAGTTTCGTTTACGCTTCTATTACTCTTCCATTATATCCGATTTACGCTCCGATTTTTATTTTCATCAGGGTATATATATATATATATATATATGTCCTTGCTATGATTAAACGTCAATGCATTGACGACACATACAAGCTGAGCAAGTGCTCTCATTACGAAGAGAAATCCTTCGACATGTACTTAAAAGACAAGTCATTCTTTTACGTATTTTTTTTCTCGAAGTATTTGCAACTATGTCCCCGGAGGTACAAAATAGATTTTCGCTGTCGTTACGAACTATAACTCGATTAAAGTGCGGGCAAGCTTGTGTCAAGGAAATCGCCCGGCTGCCGCGTCCTCTATTAACCTTATTGAGGCGAACTGGGCGACAACCTTGCCTTGTAATTCCGTAATCCTATATTGCAACTCGATTCTGCTAGTTGCTCCTTCGTGGAATTAGCCATGGTTTGGTCCGATCTTGATCGTCCATCCAGCATCAAAATAGAAAAATGAAGATATGAAATGAGATCTTTGCAAAATGCAAATTGTAGGAAATACAAAAGGAATTTTCTTTATGATAAAAATTAACAAGACAAAATCTTTGAAAGTTTCATAGATTCGACGATTAATGTAAAGTACTCTCTAAATTCTTTGGGAATCTCACTCTAAAGAATCTAAAGAGTAAAAATTAAGCAAGTCTTGAAAACAATAGCTCAATTTTCAATCTCTAAGAGTAAGATTTCACTCTTCAGAATTAAGATTCACTCTAATAGTTTTAGAGTAATTAAAATAAAAATATTCTTTATACAGGTTGGCCACGGAAACCTGACGATTTTAAAAATAAAACAATATTAAATATAACTTAAGTTTTAATTGTTTGTTATATAACAGCAGGAAACAGAATGTCATTTGATATCTGAGTAAGTTTGAATAATGACTGCGAAGAATTAAAATAAACGCAGTTATTATTTACATATTTAGACATACTTAAATAGCATTCTATTTCCTACTGTTATATAATAAGAAATTAATATTTAAGTTATATTTCACATCATTATTTTATTTTGAAAATTGTTGTTTCCGTGGCTCACTCAGTATTATACGTAATTATGTATTTCTAAAATTGGTTTATAAAAATAATCTTTTCTTAAACTGTATCTCCAACTATAAATATAATTAATCTTTATAAATAACAAGTGACTCATTTAAACATATAATTATGATATAATACTTTAATACTTTATTTACTTATAATACAGATAATATTGTTTATCAATGTGAATAAATCTTTTATTAAATAACCTTGCTGTAAGAGGAAGTAATATAATCTAATAAGAATTAATAGCTTTATTTAAAAAGATTATAATCCTTTTAAATCAAGATATTCATCCTTATTAGGTCAACCTCAATTTATATCAATTAGAATAATTAATGCACATTAACGATAATCGTAGAATTAGGGATTTCGAACAATGGTAGTCGGTACTGATGACTAGTTCGTATGTCAAGGAAATCCTCTCGGATTTTAACCTCCGCCTCTCTAATGTCAGAGCTAAGCCTCGCGATTTCCTAGGGAAAACCTTGGTCTCGTTCATCGCGAGCGATTAAATAGGACGTGATTTTTGTGTATAAGCACAGAGCGACACGTTGGTACAGTATTATAGTTTGAAAGTCAAGAACAAACAAAAAATATGTACATAAAGTATCGTCAATTAACAT